GTCTTACCAAGTTTTAAAAACTTATATCCAGTCAAAAAGCCTTTTTGATCTTGTTTTGAGACTGATTTATTAAACAAGAACTGATTGTGTAAGAATAATAATCTTGTTTTCAGAATGTGTAAGATTATTTGTCTTGTTAGTCTGAAAATTTGACTCAAATTAAGTCAAAAATCTTTGCCAATGGAGTAAGAAATTTTTACTTGGTAAGATTCTTGAAAAAAGAAAAATTGAGTCAAATCAAGTATTTCAAAATCTTAACAAGTAAATTTTTTTCTTGTTTAGTAAATCAGACTCAAAACAAGATCAAAAAGAGTTTTTGGCTGATATAAGGTTTTAAAACTTGGTAAGATGGACAGTTTTTGCAGTGTTGATGCTCGTTCAGATTAGCTTCTGAGAACTTTGCTGAAATCTGTTGATCACTTCAGGACATATTTCTCTAATGCTACAGAAAAACAGACAAAAACTAAAATATTATCACCCTCTGCAGCGGAGTGGGCGGTAATAACTGGTTTGTGCGTTTTGCTTTGTCTCATCTCTACATGTTTATGATGACCTGACGGAGGTGTTGATCAGATTGAAGTGAGGAGGAGAATGTGGCCGACCTGTAGTGTTGGGACGGGAGTCTGTGGATGTAACGGGYGTCCCTGTCCTGTTGTCCTTGGCTTCAGTAGAAGAAAGTGTGTGATTTACGGTAAAAGCCGTCCCCTTTGCTGGGCTGGCCCAGCTAGAAGTTGAACTCAGGTCTTCTGTGGATCTTTGAGGCTGACTTGTGGAAAGCCTGGACGGGATGGTAGTAAAGGGTGTTTTTGCTGTGACAGAAAAGAGAATTGAAATCATTAAACTGTAACCATGTTATTACAAAAAGCATCAGTAAGCATTAATGACGGCATTTAAGCCATGTTAAAAGTCACATCTCTTTGGCTATCTCAGACAGGAAAGCAGATGATAAACAATACTCAGAAAGAGGAAATGACACGAGGAAGCTGTGAGGTTTAGTTCGGTGCTGTGGTAATGGAGAACTCATGAGACAAAAATAAAACTCTCCAGTACTTTCCTTAGTTTATGACGACACAACCTTTACAGCAGAAGTACTTCAACATAAACAGGTTTCTGGTTTCACCAAGCCTAGTTTAATTCAGCTTTCGTGCTAAATTGCCTTCAACACAGTTAAGATTCCTGAAGTTTGAACTAATTACTCACCTTCTCGTCCGATTTTCACAAAATGTTTTAAAGTTTGTGAGTGCAGTGCTGGGTGGCGGACAAGACATTTCACTGTGACTCTGGTCTTCACAGGGTAAACGTGCAAAAACTCAGTGGAGGTATATTTTTTATTTTCTTTGTGAATCCGTACACCTTGAGCTGTGGGGATTAAGACAATTAGAAACAGGTGTAAAACAACATGTATGCTGGTTTCTAATTTATTCTTGTGATCTACGGTGTTTCACAGATTATATCCAGTTACAGACAGAAGTTTCCATCCACGAGCAAATTCCTTTCACTGTTCATGATTTAATTTAACTGTGGTTTTTATCAGGGTGGAAAGATTATACAACTTACAACTACAATGATTTGTAAAAACAAGTTTGAAATAATTGTGTTTTTTTTTCTAATCAGGTTTAAAATGAAAAGCTCATTTAATCTATACATTTACCTAAAAGTAAGTATCAGCCGCACACATAAATCAGATTAAACCTTCTGGAGAAAAGTTTAAATGTCAGACAAGACAAAACCAGAGTTTTTACCACAATAACAAGACGTCTGAGTCGAGTAAAGGCTTTCAAACCTAAGACCAACCACAGAACCAATGAGTAACCAACAACAATAAAGAAAAGTGTAAGCTCATTTAGACAGAAATGAAATAACATCTTTAAAACTGTAACAGTAAAGCATGGTGGTGGTAGCATCATGCTTTGTGCACTGCACAAAAAGGACTTAAAGGGGACCTATTAAGCAAAATTCACTTTTTTAAGGTTTTTTTTACTCAACTTTGGGTATGTACTTCTTAAAAAAATGCACCCAGGGGCATATTTACTGTACGTAAATGTATTTTTAATGTATATTAATGACAAGTTTTATACTTCGGTCATTTTGTGATGTCACAAGCCGTACGACAACCCACCGGAACCTGCGTTCAGCCCCTTACCTAGCAACCCCCGGGTGAGACTCCACCTCCTCAGTATAAAAAGCCATCACTGTGTTGTTCTGCAATGCGCAGCTTTTTACATAACAAGCCTCCAATAGGGCAATGGGTAGAGTGTTGGACCAGACAGTGGGAGACCAGGGTTTGAGACCAGCATAGACACAATTTAATTA